TAATATTTTATAAAATGCAATTTTGCAAGCATTTAACTAAGTAAATCTTCCTTGTACCTCTAATTAAAGCTTTAGAGATGAGCATTTTAATTCTAATGAAAGCAAAATCGCTAAAATTTGTTTGGTATATCGGAGTTATATATATTTTTATCTTCACGATTATTTGGTAGGTATAGTAGGTTTGTGCATATTCACGAAGATTTAAATGCTTATATTTAGAGATACAATGGACCAATTTTAGTGATTTTGGTACCATTAGAATCTTAATAATGGCCTCTGCAACTTTAGTTAGAGGCTAAATTCACTTTCTCTTAATAAAATATTTAGCAATTATTATTTAAACTTTAATTTTTTGGTAGGTGCAAAATCACGTGAACTGGTAGGTGTCCAGAGACTTTCCCCCCAGTATCGTCACCAAAAAGTTACTATCACGTGATTTTAAACAAATCAGATTTCAAGATTAGGTGTAATGTTACACGATCAGAAATTTTTAAAACAAATGTTCGTTTTGTCAAAAATCACCTGTAACTCGAGATTTTGCATAGGAAACTACCTTCCGTGCATTAACAAAAAGTTTTCCTTGAACAATTTTGCTATTAAAACCTCTAAATCCAAACCTTAACAAAGACCTTAACCCAAACCTAAATAAGCTTTAAAGAATTTTATCGAAGGTCACGTGATAGTAACTTTTTGGTAGTACCCTAGCCATAGCAAAAAAAAGTGTCGACCCATGTAGATTCTACTTGAACCACGTGATGATCGTCATGATTTGACCAATCAAAATTAACTATGGTGATATACAATATCTTTTTTTTATATGATTTTTTTTATATGACTCTTGCATTATCAATTTTTATTTCAATAAATTTGGTACGTACATGTTTTTTTTTTTTAGCTTGGCTTTTTTTTAGACGTACTTTTAGGTGAATTTTTCACCTCTGAAGGCTCTCTCGTTTCATTTGGTGTTTTCTTCTTGTCTTTTCAGTGGGTTTTTCATCATCCATTTGGTAGTTCTTTCGTCGTTCTTTCGGTAGTTTCTTCGTCGTTCTTTCGGTGGTTCCTTTGTCGTTCTTTCGGTGGTTCCTTTGTTATTCTTTCGGTAGTTCCTTTGTTGTTCTTTCGGTGGTTCCTTCATCGTTATTTCGGTAGTTCCTTCATCGTTCTTTCGGTGGTTCCTTCGTCGTTCTTTCAGTGGTTCTTTCGTCATTCTTTCGGTGGTTCCTTCGTCGTTCTTTTGGTGGTTTTTTCGTCGTTCTTTTGGTGGTTTCTTCATCGTTCTTTTGGCATTATTTGGTAGCTTTTTTGTCAGTCTTGGGTGGTCTTTTCGTCAGTTTTTTGGTAGCTTTTCACCATTCTTTTTTTGGTAGTTTTTATCTTTCTTTTTGCCATTTTTTCAGTGGCTTTTTTGGGGGTTTTTTTTTTTTTTGACTGGTATTTTGATGGTTTCTGTGTCGTTCTTCTGGTAGCCTTTTCATTGTTCTTTTGGTGGATTTTTCACTATGTTATGATCATTTTTTAGCTAATGTTAAGGTTAATTTTGGTCAACATTATATAATTGTGTAGTATAATTCGCATGCGATTACATAAAAATTTGTATAAAATTTTAAATAATTTTAATTAAAAATTTTTTAAAAAATTGGTTTACAGCTGTTTTTAGCTATTTTCATTAATTTTGAGACATCAGGTAAAAATTTGATCGAATGATTATTTGCCGGATAATTCAGATTAAGGGTCTCTCTTGGTGTAATTTAGCTAGCTATAGAAATCGTGCACAAGTCTTATGATTAATTGAAGGAAGATTCATGTTGCGAAATGTGAATATTAAATTTTAGTTAATCAACACAACTATATGATAAAAAAAAGATGGTCTCTGACCATCTTTTTTTTTTCATCGCAATAATGAACTCGTTTGACAGAATTATTTATTTTCTCTAAACTCAGACTTATTAATTTAGATGCCCTAAATATAATATTTTCGAAGCATATTCGCTAGAAAATATTCGAGCAAAATTTAAAAAGGTTGTCAATTCAAACAATTGCTAAAAACCTAGTCAGTAAATTAACCAATTTCAAAAATATGAATGTGTTGAAAGACTCCGCCACTTGTAAGAAACCACGTCTACTGAATCTGAATGATATAAAGTATCTTAAGACTTTTAATAAAAGAAAAGGTCGTTTAAAGACTTGTATTAATTCATATGCTTCACGTGAGTTTTAATTTACAATCAACTAGTAATCAATTTAAAAACCTACGTACGTATGTACCTTGTCTTACCGTTATAATAATATTTTATTGTACAAATTCGGTAATAAAATCTTTGAAAATTCGTCGTCCAATAAAAGTGTAATTACATGAGGGGAGAAAATTTTTTGTGAGATCCACGGGCATTACCTCTTTCACATTTATCCCTTATTTAGTATATGTATTCAAAGCCCATTATGTCAGCCGAAATGCATAATCGATCTAAATTATGCATCTTATTTACTGGACCGGCTGAAAAGCATAATTAATCGTGTATATGCACTAAAGTTCACTAGGTCGGCAGAAAAGCATAATCAATCTAAATTATGCGTATTATTTGTTCCTTATTTAGTAAATTTATATAGAGTTTACCTGATCGGCCAAAGAGCATAATTAATCATGTATATGCATAATTATTTATACCTTATTTAGTATACATTTTGGTCGGCCGAAGAGTATAGTTGTTAAGATTACTATTCGAGAGACACAAAGTAAAAAAATTATAATAGATTGTAGAAAAAAGGAATTATAAACTGCAGCGAAATATAAAATTTAATTAATCAAAAAATGTATTTAAGCGACGCGGTTTGTTTCAAGTAAAAAATTGTAAAAACTGATTTAAGTTTAAATAAAAATTCTCATTCACTTATTTGACTATCAATCATTAAGAATATTTTATTTAATAAACCCATAAATTAACAATTAAATCATATCAAAAAATTACATTATTGCTACATATTCTTCAACAAAAATGAGCGAAAGCAGTTCATCTCAAGTTCCTACTCAAAGCTTTGAAACCAAAAAATGCTCTTATTGTAAGAAGATAAAGAGCAAAGCTGATTTTCATCATCTTCGCAGTGATGATCCGCTATACAAACATGGAACCTATAATATGTGTTTTGAAGAGCACTCTAAAAGAAGACATGAAAAGAAGGCAAAGACAGATACCTACCTTAATTTAACAGTTCCAACCATTGGTATCTCAATTTCTAATGTTACAAATACTTATCAAGTCGATGACAGCCTTGAAGTTTATGATGATCATGAGCCAACATCAGAAGCTAACCCTGAATTTGCAAATGCGATACAAATTGAAGAAATAGAAAAAAATATTACTACTACACAAGATGATGAATATAACGGTGATAATAATACGCTTTCATACTGTTTAGATGAAGTAGAAAATTTTGTTACTATACAGTTTCAGATCACTGAGTCATCTGAAGAGCCCACAAAATTTGAATTTGAAATCGAATTGGACTCAGAACTTTTAAACGTCGTCGAGCTTGGTTAAGATCTTGATCTTGAGGACGGATCACTGGACTTGAAAAAAGTTAAAGAAAGCTTCGCACAACTTACTAAAATCCTTATTTTACCATTGGAATCTGGATCCGGATATTATTGGAATATACATAAGTTATGCTTAAATTTAAAAAGAAAAGCATTTACAGGATGTGCTACTGCATACCTTTACTGTGCATCATGTGACGATCAAATTTGGCAACGGCAAGATAATCAAGAGGTCAAAAGGTGAAGTGAAGCCCGCACTGCGATACAACGATTTCTTTGTGGAGGAAAAATTACAATTAGTATAAACATTCAACTACAATGCGCAAGTGTACAATGTGAACATTTGTGCTCCCATGAACATCCGTTATTTCGACAAACCGAATTTCCAGAAGAAGCAAAACAATGTATCCAAAGACACCTTCAATACAACCTGCAGAGCTCAGTAATGTACTGACATCTCACTGAGAATAAATTAATTAATCCTATACATACAAAAGAACAAGTATATTATTAGGCATCAGTTTATAGTAAACAAGCTTATCTCACAAACCAAGATAATCAGCTTTTATCATCTAAGACATACCTAGAACAGCCTGAAATTTTATCTAGAGGGTTTAAAATTCTAACTCATTTTGATAATAATTTCGTGCATGCCTTGGGATTCATTACTCCATTGTTTAGTCGAATTGGTGTAGAAAATATAACCGAAATAGTAATAGACTCTACATTTAAAACAAATCAAAAGCAATTTGAACTTTTTGTTGTAAATGCTAACTGTAGAGGATATAGTATGCCGTTAGCATATTTATACCTACTTGTATTGCATAATCCTGAAGTAATATATCATTATCTGGAAGATGGAATTACTACCCGTATACAGGTTCTTAAACATTTTTTCTTCGGTCTTCGTCAGGAGGGGTTGTTGCCTTCATTTGTGCTATTAGACAAGGACGCTGGCGAAATTTTAGCTGTTGGTGAAGCCTGGTTCTGGAAAACAAATATTCAATTATGCTATTGGCATTTAGAAAATGCTATTAGTAAACGTTTAAAAGACAAAAAACCGC